ATAAGTGATATTTATCTTGTAAATACTTTCCTATTCATGCATTTGTTATAGTTCCTTATTTTTCTTTACAGCTTTTTATAATTTTCTTTACCTAATTATTCAAAGTAGCTTATTGATTTTGCTGATACTGCTATAGTGATTCAAGATTACTGATGCTATCAGGAGTTGCATTCATTTATTTTGAAAACTTTACTTTCTGTTTATTGCTATTATACGGAAAGTTATTGTTACAAATTTACCTCACATCCTGAGACTTTTCTTGAATCATTTTATTAATTTTAATAGAATTTTTTGTAGTTTTTTAGTTAATGTGAAGATCATGTTGAGAATAATCTCATTGTCAGCTAAATTTTACTTTGCCTTTACAGTAAGGGATGGGAATTGGGGAACTAAAGTAAGATTTTGAAAACCTGCTTTTGGAGGTAGAATTAAATTTCACATCTATTCTAGAGACAGTTAATTATTTTAGATTCTAGTAGCTATATGTATATCATATGTGAGGCAAGCTTTTTTTTTTAGATGTTTTTGAGATTTAATATCAGAGCAGTGCATAGTTATATTGTAATCTGGAAGACTCACTTTTGGACAGAACAATGGATGGAAAAATTTCTCAAATATTTGATTCTCTGCATTGGTACTAATTAGTGGTTATATTCTACGTATATTTAGGTATTTGGACTATTAGTTTCTATTGATACTACAAGCCAATACACATAAAGCTAGAAAAACAAAAAAAGTCAAGACAATTTAAAGGGTTGAATTTCTGGATCAACCAAATCAGGTTACATGTGGTACGTGTCTATATTGATTTAATGAAACCTGGTAGTAATCTCCTTTTTACTCCCCACAAAAAGAAATCACCAGGTTCACTTTTCCTCTTGAATATCTATGAAATCTACCCCTCCCTATCCTTACCAGCACTGCTTTAAATTAGGTCTTGGTCATCTCTTGCTAAAGCTTTGTAATAGCCCCCAAATTAATCTCTCTAATGTCTTACTCCTCCAGGCTATATTTCTCACAGCTACTCACTATTCTGTCTAAAACACAAACTTGATCATCTTATTTCCTTGCATAAAATCTTTATAGTTTCGGGGTGCCTATTTGGCTCTGTCATTTAAGCAGCCGACTCTCGATTTTGGCTCAGTTGATCTCGGGGTCACGGGAAGTCTGTTTGGGATTCTCCCCCTCTCCCTCTGCCCCTCCCCACCCCATGCTCACTCATTCTCTCTCTAAAATGAGTCAATAATCTTTAAGAAAACAGATTATAGTTTCAACATCTCCTGGAAAGCAAGGTCTAATCCTTAACATGGCATACAAGGCCTTCCCAAAAAGGCAGCCTGGCCTAGTGGTTGTGAGAATGAGTTGTAGAACCAGGACTGCTTGGGTTTGAAGACAGGTTCTGCTCCTATTAGCTGTGTGGCCTTAACTAAATATTTACAACAGCCTACAAAACGGGTAGCTTTTATTAATATTATATGGGTTCTCCTTTACTTCCTGTACTTACTTTCTGACTGCTTTGCAGTTACCCAAGGGCATTTTGCAGTTTTGTTTCTCTGTTTGTTTTTTACCTGCTGGATCTTTCAGGGGATGAATGTGTGTTTTTCAGAACCGATGAGGACCTTCAAATCATACAATTTCCTGACAGACACAGTGTGCTCTCTCCCTGATCTTTTCTAAACTCCATTCTACTCCACTCCTGCCTTTGGCATAATATCCCCAATCCTCTCACTGATGGGGTTTCTTCACCTGGACTCACCCAGACTGTCTGGGAACAACAACAAGGCACCTCAAGTCCAGCTTTCTTTCATGGGGCAACATGGAAAAGGCAAATAGATAGCTTTGAATTTAGCTATATGGCTGTCACACCAGGACACTGGGGTAGAAGGAGACAGGATGTGAAGGATGAAAGTATCATTCAGGGCCACAAAGGGAATGGATAGAGGAACCAAAGAAGGCACCAATCTCAATAGCATAAAGTGGAGCCCAATAAAGACTATTCCAATTTTTGTAAAGATTTTATTTGTTTATTTGACAGAGCGGGAGAGAGCACAAGCAGGGGGAGGGGCAGAGGGAGAAGCAGACTCCCCGCTATGCAGGGAGCCTGATGCAGGACTCGATCCCAGGACCCCGGGATCATGACCTGAGCCAAAGGCAGATGCCTAACTGACTGAGCCACCCAGGTGTCCCTATTCCAATTTTCTTTTAATATTCCATATTTTAAATCTAGTCAGTAATGTTCAATTCAGCTTAACATCCAGAAATTGTTCAAAATAGAATTTTACATTTTCAACTTAAAAACAAACTTTTATGACCTAATTAAGGCATAATGATCTACTCGATCATGTATTGTGAAGGTGATGATAAGTGTTAAATAAGGCTTTTGATTGGCATTAACTCTGTGGGGTGTTTATTTAAGGTGACCATACACTTTGGTGGGTTTGGGTAAATACTGGTTCTTGCTACATGATGAGAACTGACGAGGGATAACACCATAATGGAGACAAAACGAGTCTGAAAGATTCAGGCTCACGTAACACAGTTGGTCCTTCTGCATCAGAAACTTTTCTTCTTTGGACTTGCATAATCATCTGGTTTGCATTTGATGTATTTCATCATCACTGTGTGAGGCGTTGCCCTCACTGTGTATGCGCTACTTGTATTTTTAAATGTTATTTCAAGGGATTGTTTGGACACTACGGGTCATAGGAGAGTGCGTTGACCTCTGTACATCCACATTGCAAGGTAGACTCATTACCTTTACAGATGTAATGACACCTCAAAGTATCAAGAGGTGTGCAGTCTATATAAGTGATAAGAGCAAGACTCTGTCATCCACTGTATGTACAACAGAGTACAATGCTTAGTCTTGGGTGGGTTAAAAGAAAGATAAGAGAATGAATTACAGTTTTGTTCAAGTGTTAGAATAAAGCTACTACCGGGGCGCCTGGGTGGCTCAGTCGTTAGGCGTCTGCCTTCGGCTCGGGTCATGATCCTGGGGTCCTGGGATCGAGCCCCACATTGGGCTCCCTGCTCGGCGGGAGGCCTGCTTCTCCCTCTCCCACTCCCCCTGCTTGTGTTCCCTCTCTCACTGTGTCTCTCTCTGTTAAATAAATAAATAAAATCTTAAAAAAAAAAAAAAAGAATAAAGCTACTACCTCATACACCTAATGGCAGTGACTAATTACAGCAAAGTACTTTTTGCAAAGTCTACCTAAATAAAGGTTAACTATAGCAAACCTATGACTCTTCTACGTAATTGGTAAATTATTTTTATCTTTTGTGTTTAGAAATCAGTAGATGGTTTTCATTTTCTGTAGTAGCAACTGAATGACTAGCTTCATGCTTTCTCCTATTCTGAAACTATTTTTTCTAGCACTTACCTTAAAAGCAACTCTGGATCTAGCAAGCTAAAAAAAAGTCAGAGATCTTAAAAAAAATTGTGATAAAGTGTTTTATTTTCCCCAAATTAAGCAATACCTGGTGTGATTTAAAGCTGACTCTGTAGTTTTCAGCCCCCATATTAAAAATCAGTTAGAGGGGTCCCTGGGGGCTCAGTTGGTTAAGTGTCTGTCTTTGGCTTAGGTCACGATCCCAGGACCCTGGGATCGAGCCCCGCATCAGGCTCTCTGCTAGGCAGGGTAGTCTGCTTCTCCCTCTCCCTCTGCCCCTGCTTGTGTTCTCTCTCTCATTCACTCTCTCTCTCAAATAAATAAATAAAATCTTTAAAAAAATAAAAAAAAACAAAGATAAAAACCATTTAGAATGGTGAGAGATATATGAGAACATAAGTGAGAAAATCTTGTGTCACATCTGCATTATTTACAAGGCTGCAGGAAAGTTTGTTTTGAATAAAGTATAATTGTTAAAGAACAACTTTAACAATAAAAGTTGTTATTGCTCTCTTTTTGGCTGATAAAATGAAATCTTGGTAATTAATAAGTTTACAATTTGAAAATTATTCCTGATAATAAAATAAGAAAAAGAACCAAGTGGCATTTTTTGGTATACTTACTGAATGACAGATAACTACAAATATTTAGATAAAGAACATGAAGTAATTGGTAAAATATATAAAATGCCCAGTCTCTGGAACCAGAGCGTTAGGTTCAAATTTAAATACTGACACTTAATCTAGTCATGGGACTTTGATTGAGTTGCCTCACCTTTCTTTGCCAATTTCTCTGTCTATGAAAGGTGGGTCATAATAGTACCTACCTTACAGGGTGTTATGTGGGGGGCTGGAGGGGGAGTCCCCAAGACTACCTTCAGGCTTGATGATTTGCTAGAACTCCCGGGATTCAGAAAAGCCATTACACTCCTAGTCATGATTTATTACAGTGAAAGGAAACAGATTATGATTAGCAAAAGGGAGGCAAAGTCCCTCTGCCAACTTCCAGGTGCTCCTTCCCAGGGGAATCCCATGGGGATGAGCTTCATTCTCCCAGAAACAATGTGTGACAATTTGTGTGAAGTGTGGTCCGCCAGGGAAGAAGCTCAGCCGAACTTTGGTCTCTTGAGTTGTAATGGGGGGGGGGAGGGGAGGTCAGTCACTAAGCATGCAGCACCGGATGATTAACCTCAGCTACTCAGGCTTTAGCCTCCCCCCATCCCCAAGCAAAAACAGGTGTTCACCATAAATGGATCTGGTCAAACTGAAAGAGCATAGGCCAAGGCCCAGGCTACGAAAACTCTCTTATCAGGCAGGCTATTTCAAGAGCTCAGAGGTTATTTTCCACAACTGGCCAAAGGCCAGTCTTGAAGACAAGCCTTTCACTGGAATGTGCAGGGTTAACCCTTGCTTAACCAGTGGTGATGAGTTAGTCCCCGTAGAGGAATATAAACAAGAAATAGCTATGTCCCATGATTTTGTGATGGTAAGCCCTCAAGTTTGGAATGATGGGCATTACGAACCTATGAAATATTTTAGCTAGGTCTGAATTTGTAAGAGAAGTTCCCACTGAAACACCACATTCTAACATTTTGTCCTTTGTGCTTTACAGAGCTCTGAAGTCAGCAAAGCAATAATCGAAAAGCAGAGCTATTTGAGGACTACAACAGTAAAGCAGGTACAAGAATGATTCTCAGTACTTAACACATAATACTCATTTAGATTGATGAATAATTCAATCTTATAGTCCTTATTATTAAAAAAATATTTTACAAAAATGCTAATTCGGTGTCTTAGAATATGTGTGACTATATATTATAGATGGCTGACCATATCCTAAAGAGGAATTGATTTCTATGTATACACTAAATTAATTTTGAGTTTCAGGTAGGCCAGGCCTAGATAGAAATGTGAAGGAATTAAATAATAATAATAATAATATTTTTTATTAAATCAACATATATTCATTAAAGGCCTATAATATGGCAAATACTCATCTGTGAGGTAATTGGTGATTTTATAGAACTGAACAAAACAGGATGGCCCACTGCTGCCCTTAAGGGGCTTACAGTCTTGTGGAGGTGACATGAAATAAATAAGCAGATATCAACATATGACAAAAAAACTGTGATAAGTGCAATGAAGAGACATAGCAGTTTGTGGGAGAAAGTATTGGGAGACAAGGAAGGAATCTATTGTGGACTGGCTAAACAGAGGGTATTTCTCTGGAAAGTAACATTTAAACTAAGAGTTAAAATATGAGGCAAAGAGTCCCAGGAAGATGGAATAGCAGTGAATAAAAAAAATAATTGATAAAAGGATAATAAAGTGGCTATAGCAAAGTCACAAATGTAGAGAAAGATATAAGATGAAGCTGGGTTGATAATTGGATGAAAAAGAATATGGGAACTGGCCCAGTCCCATGGGGCCTTACTGGCCATGGTAAGGGGCCTTTGGACAAGGTCTGCTGGGCTACTTTCTGCACTTGGCATTTCTGTGAATTGTCACTTAGTCTTCTCTCCTGACCCCCCTGAGTAGAGATGCTTTCAGATCTACCACCTGACCCTACCTTCCTGCATCTGCCAAAGCACTGTGGAAATGTCTTAGGATTGTACAAAGAGATTCTCAATGTGTTCACGCTTTTGAATACTAGTTCCATGACATGTACCGCATAAAAATGGTTTTGGGTCAAGAAATTTTGAAATTTTCTGAATACTGTAACACTTGCAGGAGCTTTAATATTAGAGGTTTTGAGAACCTATAATAAATAGTAAATAACCAAACATATATGTTTATGTCTATATGTATGTGTGTGTGTACCTTTATTTAACCTGGTATTTCCCAAAGCTATTTTTCAGGATTACATTAGAAAATGTTTCCAAAGTTTCCTTCTTGGAAATATGTATTTTAAGAGTTTCCTTATACTTCTGAGGCTGGTCTGCTTTTAGGTAATTTGACCTATTCAGTGGCTATGCACATTAAATGATGTTAGATAATTTAGTAATTTACTAGAATCTAGGTAATTCAAGCTAGAAAAAAAATCTGTTTGCTTCAGTGGTTTAGCTTTTTCAGGCAGAAGATTTTTCTTGACCTGAATTATATGGTTAATTGCTTCAAATCCTGATTATACTTTTCATGTGAAAATAATATGGAGTAAAGGCTTACTAAATAATTCTCATTATCAGTATTGGTAATATTTGTTCTCTTAAATCAGGCAAAGGAAAACCATAAAAAAAAGGTTTGCATCTCAGCTGCTCTGAACCTTATTCCTTTCCATTGAAATTATCTTATTCTCCTTGATTTGTACAATTCTCATAATTTAAAAAAGTCTTAAAATGAGGAAAATGACTTGGGGTAGTGCCTACTTTAGCACTTAAGAATGACTTATTTTGTATAAAATGTGGAGATTTTGTATTTATAGCAATAAAATTTCAAGAGCCAGAATATTAGTGTTAATTTACACTTATTCCAAAAGAGAGGTGCTGAGAAGCATCTGTGTTGGAAAGGGCATTGACTTTTTTATATCAATTCAGCATTTCTCAATTCAGTTAACTATTCTAAGACAATAAGAAAAACACATGAAGAATTCCCTGGGATTTCATAACTTAGAAACAAAAAGCCTTGTTTCATCCTCAGAAAGACAAGAGACAGCTGTCCTTTAATTACTACTCTTGCCATTTGCTTTCTACTAGAGATGTCTCAAATTTGGAATCTAATTAGAAATCTTAATTGAAATGGCAGGGGAAAAAAAGAAAAAGAAAAGAAAGAAAAAGATCTACATAAAAACATGAAAGTACGGGTAAAAATAGAAATTGATAATATCTTAGCCAGATTGAATGAGTCGGCCTCTGGGGAACATGTTATCTGGCATGAAACTGAACTTGCTGTTTTTTCTTTCAGGAAGAATTTTCTCGACCAGATGACTAGTCTTCTAATCTTTATCAATTGTAATTTCTAGGGACTATATTTTGCTCAGGGTAGAGACAATGGTTTTAATGTGTTGAGGCCTGAGTTGAATCGCTGTTCCCTAACTTATTCCCTGTCTGACCTTGCACACATTTTCTAAACATATGCAATCTCAGTTTACCCATCTCTAAAATGGAATTTTAAATCCCATGCAACATAGTTTCTGTCTTCCTTGTCTTTTGACTTACACACTGACTGATATATAGTAGCAGATCTAGATCTATCAGGTTCTAGAAAGGAAGGAAAGAAGAGAAAGAAGTAACAGGGAACAAAACTAAATTTGAGAATACATAAAATAATATCTAGCACAGAAGAGTGCAAATACAAAACGTTCAGAAAGTGTTTGTTGATTCTGTACCCTGGAGGCAAACACTCAAAACCAGATTCATTAATCCCTTTACTCAAACTTCTTTTTTTTCTTGTAGATATATTGGATTCTGGTCTGCAGATTGTAAACCCCACTTTAAAAGCATAGTGACATATTATTTCTGAATTACAGCACTTTGCATGCTGTTAGGCATGATAGTTGCTCAATTAATATTTGCTTAATTGAGTGAAACGGTGAATTAACAGTGCCGGAAAGAGGATAAGCCACATTGTCCTATTTCCATTACGGTGTTTGTAAACACCGTATCTAACATCCTAAGCAAAAGCGGTTGTCCTCTCTGTGAATGATTTCAGTGATAATGCACCCACTTCCTGCTGCTTCTCCATGCACTCTGCTCCCATCAGATTAACCAATTTCCTGTTGCTTATGCATAGTCTGCATTTGTAGCTTTTTGTCTTTGCCTTCATCACCTTTATTTTCAATATTTTCTTTTTTGTCTTTCATTCTTGCTTTCTTCTTTTTCCCTCCCTTTTATCTATCCCCACATTTTTGATGTACAAATCTCTCAAAGTCCAATTAAATATCATCTCTGTGAAGCAGTCCCAGGTATGTCCTGAGATAACTATCTTAGCCCCCCTTTTGTTTGTTTGATTGTTTGTTTGTTTGTTTTCAGGCACTGTCCCTTATTCCCCATCTGTGGAAAGTAACTCTGACACAGAGCCAGTGAAAGCTCAGCTGCATATGTTAATGGCTCTTTTCTTCTATTCTCTACTCCATCCTGTTTCCTTTTACCAAAAAACTCACCAAAGGGGTGAACTTCTGGCAGAGTTTACTGCTTGCTTCCACACTGGTATCTGGGCCACTGGTGAGATGAATTTAGGCCATGAGTACCAGGCTGCAGTCACATCAGCTGTCTGAGTTTGGTTAGATTTCTGAATGTGTCCTTAGTTCTGGCTGCCATGTCCTCAGAGTCTGGAGTCTGGCTCAACACCCAGGGTTCTAGGTGCCCTGATTCCCAGGACACCTGTCTGTGTCCTGTTCCCGCCAGCCTCACCTTACTTTGGGTAGCCCTTCCTCATTTATGATTTGGACACGCACATGAGGCTGAGTACTGCCCCTCCACAAAAACCCATTCTACTGCTTCTCCATCCCTCACCCCAAACTCAAGGGAGCCCCTCTTTATTGATGCCCATTCAGATCAAACTTGAGTTTATCAATTAATTCTTGGTAATTGGACTCTTGGTCCCTATAAATCAATACTTTATTCCCAGTTCCTTCTTCTTACTCTTTGCAGAACAGATTCTTTTTGCTTCCTTTCATGGTTCTTCATTCCTCTTGATTGAATTCACATTTATTATTATTATGGCATTCCACTTGAACCTCTCATAGTCCATTTTCCACTTTTCTAGCCATGTGAGTAATAGTAAATATTAATACTAATAATTCTAGTAATATTTATTGACCACTTGCTATATCTTCTAATCTCTTTTTGTTTGTTTTATATTTACTATTTAAAAATCTACACAGTAAAATTCATGCTTTCTGGTGTACAGTTCTAGACTTTTTGACAAACGTGAATAGTCATGTACTCACCACCCCAATTAAGGTACAGAACACTTACCCCAAAATCTTCTGTCTTCTACCCCCTTATGGTCAACTTCTCCTGCCCACCTCCAACCATTAGAAATCACTGATCTGTATTCTGTTTCCATAATTTACATTTTCCAGAATGCCATGTAAATTGAATTATACACTATGTAGCCCTTTGAATCTGGTTTCTTTCACTTACTGTAATATGCCTAAGATTCATCTAAGTTTTGTGGGTATCAATGATGCATTGCTTTTTATTACTGAGTAGTATTCCATCTTATGGACATACTTTAAGGTGATTATAAATTCATCATTTGAAGAAATTTTGAGTGATTTTGAATTTTTAGTTAAAAAAACATTAAAAACAAGTTTTGTGTGACCATAAATTCTATTTCTTTTGGGGGAAATAAACAGAAACAAGACTGCTGGGTGATTTGGTAGGTGTATGTTTAACTTTAAAAGAAACTGACAGATTTTTTTCTTAAGTAGGGATAACTATTTTACCTTCCTATGATCAATGTACAAGAATTCCAATTGGTTCACATCCTTGTCAAAGATTGGCTTGCCAATTTAAAAAATATTAATTATAGCCATTCTAATAGGTATATAGTAATAGCTCATTGTGATTTTAATTTTTTTTTCCTAAAGATCTAATGGTCTAAAGATCAGTTAGGGAGAACTGATATCTTAATAATAATAAATCTTTCCATTCATGAGCATTCTATATATATTCATTTAATAAATAGATAAATAATATATAAATACTTCATTTTATTTTATATTTTATCAGTGTT